GAGGTCAGAGGTTGTTGATCCTTGATCCTGATTGGATCAGTTTCAGTTTGTTCTCCAGCCCGGTGGAACCAGACGGAACCAGACGGAACCAGACGGAACCAGAGGGAACCAGACGGACCGTCCACAGAACGTCTGACCTCACAGTCCGTGCTGTGCTCCAAATGATTTCTATTTTATTTCCAGTCAGAATGATTTGGGCTCAGATTATTTACAGCCCCCTCTAGTGGCTGTGTGAGTGAGTCTTCCACTCAGCTTGTTGTTGTCAGTTAGTCAGCAGGGAGGAATTTGACGGGTTGCCAGGCGTCGGCCGCAGGGAGGAGAGGTCACATGACGGGAAAACAGGAGGGAAATGGGAGTTGAACCCTGATAAAGCATTGTTCGTACCTGGTGTGTGTGTGTGTGTGTGTGTGTGTGTGTGTGCGTGTGTGTGTCCTGCTGTTGTGTAAACATCTCGTTCTCAGAAACCACAGTCCTAACAAACAGACTTTCTTCACCACAGGTGAACCCAAGACCTATGACCCCACCTTCAAAGGCCCCATCCAGAAAAGGTAGGTGTGTGTGTGTGTGTGTGTGTGTGTGTGTGTTAGAGTGTGTGTGCGTGTTAGAGTGTGTGTCCAAACCTCTCCTGTCTTGTTTCCAGGGGCTGCACTGACATCGTTTGCTGCGTCCTCTTCATGTTGGCCATCGTGGGCTACATAGCAGTGGGAATACTTGGTAATACACACCCCCCCCCCCAACACACACACACACACACATAAACAACAACACTGTTGATGAATGAAACAAACCCCCCCCCGTGTCTGTGTGTCCACAGCCTGGTCCCAGGGCGACCCCAGGAAGGTGATCTACCCCACGGACAGTCGCGGTCAGTTCTGTGGTCAGGCTGGAACTCCTCTGGAGTGAGTGGAGCTGGGACTCAGTCTGGTCTCAGACCGTCATCTAGGAAAAAAAAAATCATTTGTCATAAATGTTTTCTCTTCCAACCCTTGAGATTTCCAAATCCACTTTTTTTAATCTTTGTATTAAATGTCAAACTGGGTCAAAGGTCATGAACGAGAGGTCTGTGACCCCGCTCCCCCTTAGGGTATCTGTGGAGGTACTGCAGGGAGGGGTGACATTTTTGGTTGAGAACAGACCATAATATGTGGATGATATTCCCAACACAGTGGTGTCTGAAATACAACATATATTTATATATTTATAAAATTATATATTTATATATTTACACCCTGCAGTACCAGTGACAAACCACTGATTGAAGCGACAGACGGTGACAGTGGTGTCAGTTGACACGGTGGTTTGTTCAGCAGAACTTTACAAAAAGTAACATGAGACTCAGCGGCCCCCCCTCCTGGACACCCCCAGGTCCACAGGGTAACTGTAACTCTGTTCCTCTGCTCCACAGACACAAACCTCTGCTGTTCTACTTCAACATCATGAAGTGTGCCAGTCCCATGGTACTGTTGGAGTTCCAGTGTCCCACCACACAGGTACTGGTACTGGGAACCGTCTGTGTCCCCGTCTGTGTCCCCGTCTGTGTCCTGAGAACCGAAGGAAAACTCACCCAGATTCATGTGTTGTTTTTTTCTTTTTTAACCCTTTAACCTCTGACCTTTCAGAGTTCAGGACTTTTTACATTTTCAAATCTGGAACTAATTAATTCTGACACCAAACAGTTCTGTGGACGTTTATTCTGCTGTTTTTATTTCTTCTTCTCTAGTTTAATTTGGTCGTATTTTAATTTTGTCACGTCCAACCGAGGCCCTCGAACCTGAGTTTTTTCCTCCTCCTGGTGTTGATGTGTTGTGGCCTCTCCTGTTTTCAGATGTGTGTGGAGAAGTGTCCTGACAAGTTCATGACCTTAGTCAAGGCCTACACCAACAGACGGGACTTCGACGACTACAAGAACTTCTGCCAGCCTGGAGTGACCAACACCATGGTGAGTTCTGACCTTTGACCCGGCAGCTTCACTCTCTCTCCCGTCTGTTCATCTGGGGTCAACGCTCCTTCTTCCAGGGAATCCCAGAGATCCTGAGGTTACGCCTGTGTCCCGCCATGTTGACGCCCAGTAAACCCTGTGAGTTGGCTCCTCCTCCTGCAACCTGCATCTGGGCTGTGATTGGTCGATACTTGGAAATTAAACAGACGCCTTCTTTCTGGTTCCTGTCCAGTCACACGCAGGTGTTTCCCAGCGCTGGGGGAGAAAGGCGGAGTCATCACCGTGGGAAACAACACCAACTTTGACGACGGAACCGGAAAAATCCGAGACGCCAAAGACCTCATGGACGGAGTCAAGTGAGTACTCCTCACTGGGTGGTACTGCCACGGGTACTCTGTGAAGTACTACGTCCTGACGTCCCACGTTACCTGACCCTCTCCACAGGAACGCCACCGTGGTCATCGAGGCTCGTCAGGCCGTCATGAAGATCTTCGAGGACTACACCCAGTCCTGGTACTGGATCCTGATGTAAGACACTGACCGACAGCTGGTCCTCAGAACTGGTGCAGGAAGAACCGGATGGTTCCACAGCTCACTCTCTCTCTCTTTCTCTCTCTCTCCTGCCCCCCCCCCCCTTAGAGGGGTGGTCATTGCGATGGTCCTTCATCCTGCTGCGGTTCCTGGCCGGGATCATGGTGTGGGTCATGATAGCACTGGTCATACTGGTCATTGGATATGGTGAGGACCAGGGGTACTACGTACTGTGTACTGTACTGCATACTGTACTGTGTACTGTAGTATATGTTGTACTTTATTTCATTGTTAAACGTTAGTGTTAAAATTTGATGTACTGTACTGCATACTGTACCGTGTACTGTAGTATATGTTGTACTGTATTCCATTGTTAAACGTTAGTGTTAAAATTTGGAGAAGATGTTTGAAGAGTTTTTTTTTTCCATCAGTAAGAAAATGAAATCCTGTTTTTTTTTTTTACTACATCATCTTTTGTTTGACACAAATCAGTTTTGTTATAAATGTTTTCTGTCTTTTTTCCTGATGTCCAGGAATCTTCCACTGCTACATGGAGTACGCCGGCCTGAAGGGGCAGGCTGGGTCCAACGTGACCCTCCAGGAGCTGGGCTTCCAGACGGACTTCACCGTCTACCTGCAGATCAGACAGACCTGGCTGGCCTTCAGTCCGTCCTCAGTTTGACCTTTAAATAAAAACAACTTTTTAAATGATTTCTTTCCATTTTTGAACTCTTTCTTTGTGTTTTTCAGTGATCATCCTGGCCATCGTGGAGGTCGTCATCATCCTGCTGCTCATCTTCCTCAGGAAGAGGATTCTCATCGCCATCGCTCTCATCAAAGAAGCCAGCAAGTCAGAGTCCACACACACACACACACACTGTTCCAGCTGCTGACAGAACGGTTCTGACTCGGTCCTTGTCTTTTCCAGAGCCATCGGTCACGTGATGTGTTCCCTCTTCTACCCTCTCTTCACCTTCCTCCTCCTGGCCATCGTCATCGCCTACTGGGCCGTCACCGCCGTGTATCCTCTCATGGTTTTATGGTTTTTAAACTCCTCCTCCTCAGGAGATGTTGTTTGGATCAAACCCTGGTGTGAATCTCAGACTCGTTCACTGAGGTTCACACCAGGGGTCTCTCTGGTTCTGGTTCTGGTCCTTGACCCCGGTCTTCAGGTTCTTGTCCACCTCAAACGAGCCGATCTACAAAGTCTTCAACGACTCCCTGTGTGAACACTCCAGGAAAGTTTGTGAGCCGGCGGTAAGTTCCTCCAGGTTCCACTCACTCATCGTTGGTCTCCACTCGTGACATCATCTGATACCTGTGACCCCCCCCCCCCCCCCCACGCCGCCCCCCCCGCCCCCGCCCCCCCCCCCCCCCCAGAACTACTCCACCAGTTCCATGAGAGCAGAGTGCCCTGACTCCGAGTGTCTGTTCGCCTTCTACGGCGGAGAAACCATTTACCACAAGTACCTGATCGCTCTGCAGTTCTACAACGTCTTCCTCTTCTTCTGGTGCGCAAACTTCGTCATCGGTCTGGGCCAGATGGCCCTGGCCGGAGCCTTCGCCTCCTACTACTGGGCCTTCGTCAAACCAGACGACATGCCTTCCTTCCCTGTGTTTTCTGGCCTGGGGAGGGCGCTGCGGTGAGTCCTCAGGTGTTGTTGTTGTTGTTGTTGTTGTTGTTGTTGTTGTTTATCATCTAGTATGAATATTTATGACTTGTTGTTTGTAAATATCTGTAGTTCTCAAACTATGGTAGCCATACCACTGCAGTTATTGGTCTCCCTCTAGTGGTGAAACCTGATAATGTTTAAAATCCAGCTGTTGAATATTTCTCACCTGGTTGGTCCGAACTCCACACTGGGCCAGTACTGTAGTAGTACTACTGCTGTACTGTAGTAGTACTACCTGGAAAGACAGTTTTTTTTTACATCTGGTGCAGAACCACTGATGGACAGTGTTTCTTCTCAGGTACCACACAGGAACCTTAGCCTTCGGTTCCCTCATCCTGTCCCTGGTCCAGATCATCAGGGTCTTGTTGGAGTATCTGGACCACAAACTGAAAGGTGCGTCTTCACCTTGGACAAAACAGAATCTGACCTTTGACCTCTTCTGTCTATTCGACTCCTCTCACTCTTCTGTCTTGGTGCCTGGTACTTTTTCCAACAGGAGCTCATAACAAATGCACCAGGTTCCTGCTGTGCTGCCTCAAGTGCTGCTTCTGGTGTTTGGAGAAGTTCATCAAGTTCCTCAACAGGAACGCCTACATCATGGTGCGTGGACTCTGGCAGTGATGTCACTTCGAACATCAGTGGAAGTGAACTGTAATGTGTGCTTTGGGCCTCTAGGTGGCGATCCATGGTAAGAATTTCTGCAGCTCAGCCAAAGACGCCTTCTTCCTCCTGATGAGGAACATGATCAGGTGAGAGACAAACGTCACACACCGAGTTATATTTATTTATTTTTTATTTTTTAATGGGGAAAATACACAAACACAGGAGTGCTGTTGTGGGACTGATCAGTCTGGTATCAGACTGTATATATGTGTAAATATATCTGTAAATATATCTGCGTTTGTCCTTCAGGGTGGCCGTCCTGGATAAAGTGACAGACTTTCTGTTATTTTTGGGTAAACTGCTGGTCGTAGGACTGGTCGGTGAGTGAACCTGGACACAGACGTCAGATCAACGCTTCATCTGTGACGTCCTCGTCCAAACGCCACTTTAACGTTTTATATTTGTTATATATTTTTCCCAGGTGTCTTTGCCTTTTTCTTCTTCTCTGGGCGGGTGAAGGCCTTCGAGGACACGGCCCCCCACCTCCACTACTACTGGGTTCCCATCCTGGTGAATATGATTTGTTTTTTCAGTTGGTGAATGAAGTCCTGTTTAGAGGAAAATGGTTGATAAAGTCAGATGGTAGTTGATGAACAGAAACGTGGTCTGTGTTTGAACCAGACGGTGGTGATTGGTTCGTATCTCATCGCTAACGGATTCTTCAGCGTCTACGCCATGTGTGTGGACACTCTCTTCCTCTGTTTCTGTGAGTAACTGCTTTTATTCACGTTATTGTTGATGATGTCAGACGAACATGTGACAAATCAAATACCCCCCCCCACAAAAAAACCCTTCAAGGCTGTAAAATGTCACAGGTCGTTGTATTTAATGTAGTTTTTCTGTAGAAAATGACGTTTCTTTACAGTGAACCTGCTGTTGGTCGGATCAAGCTGTAAATATTTGAATCAATACAAATTTAACTGAACACAACATGTGGCCTGCGGTCCTCCCCCGGTTCACTGTGGCCAGTCTGGAGACTGTAGTGACTCCAGGCTCACTGACCTGGAGTCAGTGGACCTCCTGCTGTGTCCTGTCTAATGACCTTCATCTGTGTCACGTCTCTCCTCAGTGGAGGATCTGGAGAGGAACGACGGCAGCGCCGAGCGGCCGTACCTGATGCCCGAGAACCTCCGGAAAATCCTCAACAAGAAGAACAAATCCCAGGCGGCCCAGTAGAACCAGAACCCTTCACAGATCCAGGAGTTCCTCCAGGAGACAATCAGAACAGAAGTGCCTTTTTAGATGTCATAACTTCAGTTGTTGTTCATGTGTTTCCTCACTAGGAGGCAGCACTGAGCTTCACCGATTTTAAAGCCTGATGTAAATGTTTTTGTTTTGTTTTTTACCAGAGGAAACAGATGTTTATTATGAGTGTGGTTTTATTTTTATCTCGTCGTTGGTTTGAAAAATGTCATTTATTAAAATATAAAACCTTGTTTTTTTTATCTCCATGTATGAGTTTGTTTTTGAGTTTGAATAAATATTTAACCTTGTTGTTAACGAAGCCATTCTTTCTGTCGACTGTTCTCCGGTCAGATTATATGAAAACAAAGTGTTTGATGAGCAGGTCGGACATTTTTGTCGTTTTGACTTTAAAATTAAACATAGTTTTGTACAAATTCACGTCTCTGGATTTTTATTTTCTTATTTTTTATCTCATTGACTGTTTACTGTCTGTAACAGTCTATACTGCAGCATCACGTCCGACCGTCTGTGGCTCACTGACCAGAACACAAAGTAACAAAACTTCTCTACTCAACTGTCGTGACCTGCAGTTACTCGTGTGACCACTAGAGGGGGCTCCATCCTAACAGTTGTGGCCCAGTTCATGGCTAGACTCCTGGTCCAGCAGCAGTGTCGTGGAGTCATGTGACCTGAGTTCACCTCCATTGGTGGTTGGTCAGCAGACTCACTTCTTTAGATCAGTGGTGTCAAACTGAGGGAGCAGGGACCACCTGTGGTCCGTCCATTTTTCCCTCCCTCCCCAGTGAGAACCGTTTGACCTCGTTCTCCACGGTCTGTTCTGAAACGGTCAAAGATTCACTGGTCATAAAGTCTTTATGTCTTTACTGTTGAATTTGACTGGGTCAGAGTTCTCTGAGGACGAACTCATCGTCGTCTCCTGCAGGTTTCTGTTCCAGCAGTTTACAGAAAGAAAATGTCAACTAGGACCACGGGAACACTTATGTAAGAGCTGTGACCTGTGACCTGACCAACAACAACAACAACATCAACAACAGCTCACAGATCTGATGACATCATGTCCTCGGTCCAGTGGACGTCACAGCTCCTGTGTGGTCACCCAGGCCTGTCCCCTCAGGACTCTTCGTCCACTCTCCTTCACCAGTGGAGTTGGTCAAAGTCGCTGGTATGCACTTGATGTTTGTCACTGTCGCCACGGCAACCACAGAAAAATGTGAAGCAGCCTCTTCAAGGAGAAGGTGACGGTACCGTGGTCCGAGTCAGGACTGTGGTTCATGTCCACGGGATGACCTTTGACCTCTGACTGAGGAATGACAGGATTTTATAGAAACATTGGTGTTGATGAGGAGCAGTC